CCATGTCAGAACTTGGAAGATAACGGAGTTTAACTAACAAGTTGCTTCAGACAAAATTACCCGCCGTCGCGCCGTTACAACCGCGTAGTTTAACTTGTAATAAGGAATTAAGGGCTTACAAAACTTCATTTCACTGGATAATGATGCTGTTCTTAACTACAATTTGTTTATTTCTCTCCTTCACATGATATGCTACCAACCTTTTAGTGGGAACCCATTAAACGTTTTTAGACATAACATCAGGCCAGGCCTCAAGGATCGGTGTTATATATCTAAAGTCATTGGAGGGATTTGAACCCAGGATCAAGGAACCGAAGCCATGCGCTTCATTCAATATCGATCCAACCGAAACTCAAAACAAAGTTAATTACTAGTATAATACTATCTTGTAGCCACCCCGACAAACACGTTTGATATCTTTGTACCTAGAATCAATATGCTCTTTTCCTGTTTCAGGCATTAAACTACTCAACAAACTGTCTCAATGCACAAGAGATTCGCCGAAAGAAAAATTCTCAACCTTTGTTAAGCTTATTCACAATCTATTTTACGATATCACTAAATTTTATAGAATTGTGACAGACGACCCTATTGTACTTATTGCATTTAATGGTAAATAAAGACTTATGACTTATGACCAAATCCTATTTAATGCGATGCAATTCAAACTTAATTTAACGTAACAGATTTAAACTAACCAACAAATTGTAATCAACATTTTTTAAGTATTTTGCAATCCGTACAAAACTCCTATCCTGGTTCTATAGAGAAGTGTATGTCAACTAAACACCGAATAAAGATGGTATAAACATTTTGGGGCGTAACAAACAATTAAAACCCTAGTGGTAAAGTATGAAAATTAACTACGTGGTGTCTTTGGGTAAAAAAAAGCCAGCAACCTGTAGAGCAGGAAATCTCCGTCGAGGGAAATTAACCAAGAGACAAGCAACCAAAATACGGGAATTCTCTGTGGACGGCTAGACACGGTTTACCTTGTGTTGTCTTGTTTACCTTAATGATTAAAATATTGTTGTGTTAATATGAGAACTCCCTTTAGAACGGCTAGACACTGCTTACCGTCCGTTGTCTTGTTTACCTTGCTGATTAGGACATTGTTGTGTTAATAAGAGGACTCTCTTGAGAACGGCTAGACACTGCTTACCTTGTGTTGTACTGTTTACCTTGCTGATTAGGACATTGTTGTGTTAGTAAGAGGACTCTCTTTAGAACGGCTAGACACTTCTTACCATCCGTTGTCTTGTTTACCTTGCTGATTAGGACATTGTTGTGTTAGTAAGAGGACTCTCTTTAGAACGGCTAGACACTTCTTACCGTCCGTTGTCTTGTTTACCTTGCTGATTAGGACATTGTTGTGTTAATAAGAGGACTCTCTTTAGAACGGCTAGACACTGCTTACCTTGTGTTGTCCTGTTTACCTTGTTGTTTAGGACATTGTTGTGTTAGTAAGAGGACTCTCTTGAGAACGGCTAGACACTTCTTACCGTCCGTTGTCTTGTTTACCTTGCTGATTAGGACATTGTTGTGTTAATAAGAGGACTCTCTTTAGAACGGCTAGACACTGCTTACCTTGTGTTGTCCTGTTTACCTTGTTGATTAGGACATTGTTGTGTTAATAAGAGGACTCTCTTGAGAACGGCTAGACACTGCTTACCTTGTGTTGTACTGTTTACCTTGCTGATTAGGACATTGTTGTGTTAGTAAGAGGACTCTCTTTAGAACGGCTAGACACTTCTTACCATCCGTTGTCTTGTTTACCTTGCTGATTAGGACATTGTTGTGTTAGTAAGAGGACTCTCTTTAGAACGGCTAGACACTTCTTACCGTCCGTTGTCTTGTTTACCTTGCTGATTAGGACATTGTTGTGTTAATAAGAGGACTCTCTTTAGAACGGCTAGACACTGCTTACCTTGTGTTGTCCTGTTTACCTTGTTGATTAGGACATTGTTGTGTTAGTAAGAGGACTCTCTTGAGAACGGCTAGACACTTCTTACCGTCCGTTGTCTTGTTTACCTTGCTGATTAGGACATTGTTGTGTTAATAAGAGGACTCTCTTTAGAACGGCTAGACACTGCTTACCGTCCGTTGTCTTGTTTACCTTGCTGATTAGGACATTGTTGTGTTAGTAAGAGGACTCTCTTGAGAACGGCTAGACACTGCTTACCGTCCGTTGTCTTGTTTACCTTGCTGATTAGGATATTGTTGTGAAATTACGAGGACTCTCTTTAGAACGGCTAGACACTGCTTACCGTCCGTTGTCTTGTTTACCTTGCTGATTAGGATATTGTTGTGTTAATAAGAGGACTCTCTTAAGAACGGCTAGACACTGCTTACATTGTCCTATTTATTTTCTAGAGGATTAAGATATTGTTGTGTAGGGTCCAAATTTAATAAAAGCTATTGGGGGATGCTGAGAAAGAAATTTGTGTGTTTTATACTCACTGAGCATTAATTTATTTAGTCATTGAAAATTTAAATCGTCAATTTGATTAACACACTCTGAAACAATAATATTAAATTCATATTGGATAGTCGTGACGAAACATCATTAAATTACAATATAAGTTTTGCTCTAAATTTGTTTAGAAATAAGTATTCTACTTATTCTTCTTATAGAAGTAAGTATTAAAAAAACTGAACACAATCCTTAGATATGACATTAATATTGTATTCGATTAGTTTATTCCATGAATCCACTGTTAGTGTATCAAGTATATTCGAGAAAGTTGAAGACTGAAGTTAATATGTTTTTAATAACATCCTGGGTGGCAAAAATATCTTTGTTTTGCATTGTTAAATTACTATTGACCTCTAAAGGTAACAACGATGTGACCATAAAACCTAACTTGTGTTTAAAATTATTTTAAAACATATACAACAACAAATAATAATTAGGTTGACAAAGATTAAACATGACAAACAAGCAATGCTGGGCACGCCGTTGGAATGTACATTTGTGTAAAACAGAGACAAAGAGTGATAAACAATAGTTCTCTCTCCCCTATAGCTAGCTCTAACTCATCCGTATGTTCTATTATTTCCATCCATTTCTATCAGTATCCTCCATTTAGTTCAGTCCAACAACAACAAATAATACAAAACCGTTATTTCATAATCTTAATACCGCCAACATTTTATTAGAATAGCAAATTGTCGAAGTTATTAGATTAGTAATGTCTAGTTAGAGTAATTCAGAGGTTAGTAGTATTTTAGATGTAGCCTACCCTTTTATGTGCCTATTGAAGGAACACTACATTGCAAACATCTGTTGGACAAACGTTATGAAGCGATTGAGGACGAATTTCAATAGATGGTGAATCCTGAGTATCCACTATCAAACCTATATTGTTAACGGACAGATGAAGGTCAGATAATGGAGCTCTGGGAGTTGTAATCAATGGCGAACGTGTGTATTGATAGCTGAGATGTACCTTCGGGATAATGTATCGACAGGACATTTTACAAATCAACGGTCATGCATTGTATGAATTTAATATTTACGTACACATGATGAATGATGTATGACAAATAAAGTATAGTAATCTCTCACATCAAATATACTACCTCATTTAACCACTTATTAAAAAAAAGAGCCTGGTGAGTGACAAATGTGAAATCAGTATACATACATAAAATAATATACTTAAAACCTTAGCGACGCAATTCAAATTTTAAGCTAACAAAATAATCATAAAAGGCTTTACAAGCAAAGATACAGATGTGATTTTTTATTTGTAAAAATTGTAGAAATTAGATTTGGCTAAATTATATAACGTATTAAACAAGTATTTAGTTTTGATAGTTTGACTGGCTTTCTAAACTAATTCTAGTTTTCATCTCTGTAAAATGTTACAAAAAGTTTTTTTTTTAGTATTATTATTATTATTAGTAGAAGCATAGCTAGCATAGTAGAAGATGGATATAGTTCACTTTGACTGTCAAAACTCCCATTTCAGAGGTAAAGCTACAACGTAAGCTTAGAGGCAAGTTTGTAGACAAACCACCTTAGTGAACACGGAGGTTAACAAGCTGATATCTTGTGTATATGTTACTCCGGTAATGAATTAGTCTTACCAATATGTTAACTGTTGAAAGCTTTGCAATTAATTACGGTTTACAAATAATTTATTATAGTGGTAAGCACCTAGATGAATACGCTTTTGGGTTATAATCCATCAAGTTATAATTAAAACTAGAGGTCTTCCAGCTGTTGAAAAGACGACCAAAAAAATAAAAAAATATCTAATTTACACACATTGACTATAGGATACTGAAGTAGACGTCGTACCTATATGGACCAGGTGTCACAATTTTTTATTGAAAACGTGTAGTTATGTGAGTCAGTCACAGAATTCGTGTCCAAAATTCTATTTCAACCTTATCTTTTGTTGCTTAAAAATTTGATGGGTCATAACAGTTTCTATAGCTCATAATAAATCATTCCATAAGTTTGACTTGGTAAAAAAAACTTGTGTACTTGATATAAATTAGTCATATAGATCAGCGCAATCTGTTGGTGGCTCACATCAACTACGATGAATTTAATTTTTAAAACTAGCGATAACTTTAACATGGGGATGGAATGCTTGGTTATAAGTCAAAGGTACAGGCTTATCTACTTTCACTCCATGCTGTAAATAAAATATAGGATTGAAATTTCGTCCATTTAGTTTTGTTTTCTGTTTATATTTCGTTGTTATTTCGTCACCAGGATGGCAACCCATAAGACCCATGTTAGATTTTTTTATTTTAGATTAATTTTGTGTGCATATTTTTCACCTATTTTAATTTATAAAGAAATTCTGAACACCTACTGGAAAATATCTTCTTTCTAACAGTATGCTTAGATTTTCCCTACGATGTACACGAATTGAGAAAAAGGTTTTAAAGAAACATGCTTGTCTATTAATGTATAGTAGACATTTGGTACCCTGATATTGATATGACTAAAATGGTAATAATTGTATTATTCTTTGTTTCAGAGATTGCTCGGATGTTCTCAGTTCGCAAAGGTGAGATTTTCATTTTCAACTTTAGAATTCGTTTGAACTTATTAAACTTAAGTCTTCAAGTTAGTGAGCTTGAAAAAAATGCATGTAAACTTGGTGCCGGGGAACATGGGACACAGCACAAGTTGTTTAATTAAGGAATGAAACACTAGGTGATGGTATGGATGGACTTAACTTGCATAATCTTGGCGGGTTACACACCGGCATCGCAGACAAAATGTCACCAATATTTCTGTGATTTTAATAGCACAACATCTTATTTTAACACCTAAACGATAAAGTTAAACGATAGCGTTATTGATATCCAACCAATATTTATTCCATTTCTCGTTTTATATTTACCTGTCATAATATTCAAATTTTTTATGACAAATAGAACCGGTGGATAAGCTACACTGTCAGTGAACACATCCATCAATGAAAGAGACGCGGAAACGACAAGTGATGAATAACAGCAGTCTGACCTCGACATTTCCTTTCTATCAAAAATACTGAATCACGCGTTACAGTATATAGCTTTACGTTATACATGCATAGTACAGTGCATTTCTTAGCCACTAAACCATGGCTAGTTAATTGGTTTAATATAATGCAAATAATCAGGGATTTATTAATCTTGAAGACTTCTATAGTTTCAGATTTATATAGTTACTATTAGTTTAGTTAATAGTGACATAAGTAAAATTGTTGTAAAGGATATAACAAGTTTTCTAAAAGATTTTAGATAGTTGATTGAGATATGTTTTTATAAATTTCACTCTCTAACACTTTTTTATATCTGAGAGAAAATAAATATCCTAATTTTGAATGGAATCTAAATCTCTTATGTTAAACCAGAGATTCTACTGATCATTTTTTTATGTTCCTTCATATCATAGATATCAGGCTCTACCTCGGATCCACACTATACCACTAGACCAGCTCGCTCCCTTACAGCAATGAATGATGTTAATTACGTCAACGTATAAGCAACAACATGAATTAATTAGTGGCAGATGGCTTAAAAGCGTTTTAGTGTTTCACGTCACCAATTCATTTTAGGTAAGATTAATTTACGTGTTTTCTGCCGTCATCAAACAATGTTGGACTGAATTATAATTACACATTGTCTGAGCTCAAAGATTATTACATTATTTTTAATATGTAGGTTGTTTTTAGTTGTATATATATTTGAAATAATATCATGTTTATTTTAAGAAACCCCTAATTGTAATTTATATCTGTAGCCAAACATTTAGTTTTACAACTATCGGTTTTTCGCTTGAGAAGTATTAATTCTGTCAGGGGAATCTTTTCTTGGGATTTTACAGTAGGTGACAAGTCCACTGAGGTATGTTCTAGGAGTTTGTCTTCTTCAGAGTGATTTAGGGACTCTGTGTCAGTATAAAGTAGCAATAAGTTGGAAAGATCGAGTGTCACTTAGCATCTAATACAAAATGGCCTCTCAAATGTGGGAATTGGGAGTAGTGTTTACTTTGTGTTTATCCTTGTAGGACGTTAGGTGAAATTTATTCATGCAGAGTATTATGCAAAGAAAAAACATGATTCTGCTCATATACTTGCGAGTATAAACAGGTAGTGTTTTTTGCTTCTGGTCAAAATGAAACGTGAATCGGTCCCGGGTTCATATCATAACAACCTACGTTAATAGTTTTTTTCTATCGAAAATTCGCTAATACCAAAGTCAGTAGAAGTTCGTTTGCACGTTATAACGTAATACACAGTTAGGAGGTATTGTGCCGTGTTGTACTGGTATCTACACAATGTTGTACTCACTAATGACAGAGATAGCCAACCCCTCGTTTACATTGTAATCTGTTCAACATTCTCTACTGTGTGTTAAAACATACTGAGATGTATTTGAGGTCATCTGCGGGGCGGATGTCAGTCTTTATGTCCTTCTTTCCTTCGAAATTCTCCATTTATAGAGGAGAGTTTTCAAATAACATGATTTTAACTAACAACGCCCCTTGAGTCATAACTTATGATTTCTTATTTTTATATCATTAAGTATTTTAATGAAATTTCATTGAATGTTACATTGAATGTTTAAAATAATTTTACATATTTATTACGCTCAGAATATATGTTCATGCGTTTCAATGGAAAATGGTATGATGATTTATAATCATACATCATGATCATGGTTCATACATAAGTAAACTAAAAGTGTATGGGTATGCTTGTATTCATCAACAACGTAATATTTATTTCATATTTTGATCATCAAATAATTGTATGGGTAATGCTATATATTTTTATATTATCAATAAACACTAGATTTGATCCATCCGTTGAAGTGTTATGCAGTGAAATTTTTAAAGAGGTTAAATACAAATCCATATGGATACCTGTTGTTTTTTAAGTCTACTTAATTCATTACTCTACGAGTCTACTTCGACAATCGCCGACCCTTTCTATAAAGTATTCATGCGGCAACAATAGCGCCAAAGGCAAGGTTATATGCCTTGAGGTAAGCAAGCTGTAGTGTACACTCCTGCCATCAAACAATAAGCAGTACAGTCTCGTCGCACAATGGACCTTGCATAACTCAGATTAGTAATGCACAGGTCATGTTGAATTCATTCATTGTAGCGATCAATGTTGATATTTGGCGTTGGTATTGGTTGATATTTGGTGTCGCAACACAACACCTCTATAAGTTTACATACAAATGTTCAAATATAAAGATAGTGTATTTCGACAAATGTTTCGTATCAAGTGTATCGCAAAACCACAAAACACGGTGGGGATGTTGCCTGACGAGAGGATTTGTGTTTGCATTACAGCTAACGCGATTCTGATAGTGTTTCACCGAGTGGTTTCAAATATTCACGACTCTGAGCGTCCGTTGACACTTTTACTGTAATGTATTCCACCTGGTGAAAGAAAAGAGGGAGAGAGTAAAGGATCTGTGGATCGTAGATCGTTTATATAACTTTTTTATCGATTGTGATTGCATTAATCTCATCTTTAAGGGGTATGTTTGTTTTTTTAGAATTTATAAATCGATCAATTCAATTATTTTATTCATACTTAATATCCGTCTGAAATGTTTTACTTTTAAGTTCTTAGTTTCCCTTACTTTTCCATTACCGATATTATTGTTTGAATTATCTTACAGTAAATTATTATCATTGTTTGTTACATTTCTTTTGTATGTTTTTGAGATATACTTTTAAGTTTAATCTAGTGCATGTTTTTGTTGAAACGAATTCGTACGTTTTCGTTTTCTGTTCTAATTGTTATTTTTCTTTTTTTTCCTAAAGATTTACCATTTTTGTTTCAAACTGAATACTGTAATAACTTTAATATTTTAAATAATTACATTATTTGTTTCAATCTACACACAGACGTTTACGTTCATTGTAGTCTACTGAAGTTCGTATTATTACTTGAAGAATCAACCTTTATGTATTTTGTGTGTAAATTAAACACAGTCACTCTTATGTTTTATTTGTTAATTCTGACAATCCAAAGGCTAATCTTTCATATGTATCATCAAAATTTGTACTAATGTGTTCTCTTATACATTGTATAGAAAGCGTAACAATCGATAATAACTAACATGGGTGAAACTTTGTAAAAAATCAAACCAACCACCAACAATTATTTGCATAATTTTGTAAGGATAATGCGTTTCATTACTGTAATTTAAAAACATCTAAGCGAGTGAACCAGCGAGTCATTTAATGAACTATTGTTACTGATAGGTTTTTTTTTATTTCCCAGTATTTGTCCAGATATAGCCCTGCACAAAGATGTTTTTATTTTACGTCCTTCGCCAAACCAATCAGTGGAACTATTTTCGACACTAGATGTTACCAATTTAGTGCAACTGATGTCAAGCATGTCTCGTTGAGTATTGTGGTAATTGGTTTTACGGAGTACAATGTCATTTGCTTTTATACGTCATTCTGTTTTTACGAAAATCTTTGAAATAATACCATTATCTTTGTTAATGTAACTGGAGTTTTATTTTGTATTTTACCTGGTTAAAGTTTCACTCTACTTTTCATGTATGAAACTTGACATAAGAGATGAGGACCTAATTGAATGCAGTAAAGGCTGTATTTGTTTGATACACGACGGTTATGAAAACTATGTTCTTTAACTTGATAGTTAAGATTTTTGGTAATAAAACTCCAAATTACTTATTTATTTGCAATACAATTACAGTACTTAAAATTTCATACAATTTTGACTTTACGGTCCCCAATGCCCTTCAATTCTGTGAAAAGGTTTTCCAAATTAACCCTTTAATAAAAGGCATTTTATTAAAGTCGACAGGTTTGCTACGGTGGAGGTATTTTTTTACGTTATATTAGGTCACAATGAACAGAGTAAAACTTTTTTAAACTACATGAATACTTAATACAACACTTCGATGAACTTAGCTTCACTTTTTGTTATTTTAATAGGGGTAAAACCAGCCTCATAAAAATCGACAGCAACAGAAACACTTGGCTATGTTGGACACAACACTTGTTACAATATGTCTGCATGTTACAACAAATCTACGAATAAGAAACATTCTTCAAGCATCTTTGTTGGGCTTGACAATATACTAGGAAAATCGTGGTATGAATATCCGAGTGGCAGGTTCAACCCCAATTTGTATGTAACAACATCAAAGTGTTGAGTTCTTTGTAACGAAGCGCAGTAACTTCAACCCCTTTTAAGTCCTGGCCTTTGTGTCAAGAGACTTGGAACAAGAGTCAATTTATATAAAGCTATTATTTTTTATACAAATATAATAATACTGCGGATATTTTAGTATTTGTGGTCATTTTATAATTATGATGAACAGTTGGATAGAAAGTGTATTATGAGTGTAAACATTAAAAAGTTGAACTGTAAAAATTAGCTAAATTATTAATCGTTGCTTGAATATTATAATTTAGTAACGCATATTAAAGTACGTCTTACATGTGCTGATAAAAAGTAAAAACGTGTAATTAATAAGTTTGTACAAACGAGTTCTATCATAAGCTATTTGCTTT